TCAACACCTAAAACATCAACGGAGGCTTCTACTTCGGAATTCACCACTCAAACATCCACGAAGAGTTCCACATCAGAATCGACCCCTAAAACATCTACGGAGGCTTCCACTTCAGACTCGACCACTAAAACATCCACGGAGCCTTCCACTTCAGAAACGACAACTCATAGATCCACGGAGCTGTCAACTTTGGAACCAACGCCTCAAACATCCACGGAGACTTCCACTTCAGAATCGACAATACAAACATCCACCGACACTACCACTTCAGAGTCAACCACACAAACACCCACGGAGTCGTCAACATCAGAAACAGCCACTCAAAAATCCACAGAAGCTTCAACTTCGGAACCAACAACTAAAACACCCACGAAGGCTTCCACATCTGAATCAACCACTCAAATATCAACAGAGGCTTCTACTCCAGAATCGACCATTCAAACATCGACTGAGGCCTCCACATCGTCATCGACAACTCAACCATCAACGGAGGCCTCCACTTCGGAATCAACCACTCAAACATTAACAGAGCCGTCAACTTCGGAATCGACGACGCAAACATCGACGGAGGCCTCCACTTTGGAATCGATCACCCAAACACCCACGGAAGCTTCCACTTCTGAATCGACTACACCGACACACATGGGATCCTTTGAACCAGAATCAGTTGCCATTCAAGCTGCGCGAGTATCTCGTATGCTAAATTTGCTGCGTAAGCTAGCAGAGTCCGACGAATGTCCGACACCACACCAGGTGGATCAGACGCTGAACGAAGCCAGCCGAGCCCTAGAAAAGGTGGCCAATGAAGAGTTTACACAAGAAACGCTGGACGAGCTCGTTAATAGCACCAGTAATGTCAACACCACAGTCAACTGTGTTCAAAGCAGTCAGACTGTGCTAACGGGGGACCAGAAGAATTCGGTACAGGTGTCCATCAAGAACGCTGAAAAGTCCGCCGACAAGGCCGACGACATTATCGACAACATCGTCAACCCGACGCCGACGCCGCTGCCCTCGCTGGCTCTCAGCTCTCCGTTTGTGATCGCTCTCATCGCCCTCAGCTGTTTGCTGGCCGTGGGCACAGTGGTGGGCGTAGCACTGACGGTGCACCGTTCCGTGCGCACCCCGCCGCGCCGCCGGCGACCCCGGCCGACCGTCACGGGCCGGGTCAACGCCGGCCACCGGCCAACCAGCATGCACACCACCGAGCTGGACGATGGTTCGGCCGGCCGGTGGCGCGCGCCCGTCCCCGAGCCTGACAACTTTGACTTACTTTACCACGGAGCCATTCCACGGGCGCACTTGGTCGATCGGCCAGGCATCGAGCCGTAGCAGACATCGCGACGAGAGTTCTACATATAGCGCCTGTATAACATGTAAATGCATAACGTCTACCGCGCAGCCCGCTGACTGAGGGGCGACGAGTGGGTCAGCAGGTCCTGGAAGTCACTCGGTGATGTCTTGTAGAATGAAGTGATCGAGCAGTGACCCAGTGACAGTAGCCGTCCAGTGACTGAGAACTGACTCAGTGATAGCTGAAAGGTCGGATAGCAGTGACTATGCGCTGATTAGAAGTAACGGAGCCATTACAGCACGGTGATTGTAGTGACCGATCGGTGAATGGAAAATGGCATCCACGGCAAAGAATGAAGCCAACCGCGGTATAGGCTCACCGACGCATGTGAGCCCTGCTTTATTGCCGACGCATGTGAACCTCGCTGTATTGTACTATATTGAACATATATATAATAATCGTATGAATTCGTACCAGTGCTGTTATGGGCAATAAATGAGATACCCAACAAGCAATGCAGTAGCTACAATTGCTATATCGAGGCGTGAATGATTGGAGTAAAGAAATGGGGTAGGAGGGAGGCAAAATCCGTAACACGAAACGTTACGACACGCATGCCAAGGTTACCCAATATGGTTGAAGCCAACTGCCAAGGTTACCCAATATGGCAAGAAGTATAATCAAGCATGGACATAAAAACCTCACAGACCGTTCTAGCTCATTGTCGCAAATTGACGTCGTTGAATTACTGAAAAGTTCAAACAATACATACTGATTATTTGCCGTATCGTTCAAACACTATTTGTCAGAGCAAATACAAAAACTTATAGGCAAGACACTGCAAGCCAATCATTTGCAGCGCACCATTACCAGCCCCAAACTGCCACTCATCCGGTCAGTTCGGGGTCGGCGTTACCGGGGAGCTCAGCCTCTGGTCCTGTCGCCCCGCCCTGACACGGTACCACCTCAGCGACCTGACGCGCGGCACACTATCAGCGTGTATCTTATCGAGCGGCCGCCGAGCCAGTTTACAACCCCTATCATATCCTGGTCGAGGCCGAGCTCTCATCATGGCATGCGTAGAAGCTGGGCCCGCTGAGCCACCCGCGGACTCGCGCACCCAGAATGGACACTACGACAGCATCAAAAGGCGGAACTATCGATGATAAGCTACACTTACTTGTCTTCATAGAAAATGATTGCTTGCACGCAGAAACTCATAATGTGTATGACAGGCTTCGGATGAATGGCGTAATGACTTATTTCATTCAATTGATTTCGTAAGCTGATCCTACTTATAGGCAATCCAGCCTCTAGGTCAAGGCATAGGAACCAAAATGCGCAATTGATAAGCATAGAAACCTTGCAATAAATTGGCATAAATATACCTACACCTGAATTTATCTTATTTTATATGTGCACTGCGCATTAACCTGAGATCCAATTCTCTCCCTAGTCCCTTACAAAGATTAGTTAAATATTATCCCAATAAGTACCAACCTAGGGACAAGAGCAGAGTCCTAGGCATTTTTTCTTTATAAATTTAGCTTGAATGTTTGAATGGACGGATTGACAGAGCCGGAGCCCACGCTAAGCAGAGCTTGTTGCGTAGACCCCGACCCCTACCGTCCGATCGCGCAATTCCGGGTAACGGGAGGATTTATATACCAAAATTTAACGTGCCCTTCAAAGCAGGACACGGCCTGTCCCACTCAACTGACTTCAACTGGCTGCGGCTGCTCCCACCAACCGCAGACCGTCCCCGTCAGGAGTCTCAAATATCGAGCGCCGGAGCGTCTCGAACCCGTGCTCTCACTACCGGGAGTCCAATGCTCTACCAACTGAGCTACGGGACAGGCATTACATCATTACCCTAGCCTAAGCCGTCCTCTTTCTCGTAGGGTCAGCGGGAAAAGTCTCAGGTGACAACGTATTGACCATAGGTAAGTATTTTGGTTTCTCAGCTCATACAGATACAGCAGGGTCAGTCCCTACATTGTGTGCACCAGTGCCACCTAGTGTCGATGATTGAAAATAGATGTTCCGAGCCTCTCCGCTAGGGGCAAACGGGATACAGCAGCTAAATTATTGTAAAAACCAATTACACGCAGTATTCGGAATCAAGAACATGCATGATTTTGCCCGGGCATCGTGTGTAAAACAACCACGTTACCTAAAAAAGGGGTGTGAGCTTAATGTCTGGGCAGGGCCTGACTCGGTACCCACAGGGAGTACTGGGGTCAAAACTCAAATGTCCATTCACTCGTATTTGCAGCGACTAGGGCGCTGGATATGTTCATTGTTCGCTTGTTTAGTAGTTGACCCATACATCTTTGCTTTCCTCAGGACAAACCCATCCACACGCACCCCATGCCTTTATTTATGGGCTGGCGATCACTCCCACCATCCAATCTGGGGTGAGGGCAATTCTTCGATAAACGGTCACCCTCTCCGGGTCAACCGTTTGAGCGGCAGTGCGGGCTGTCCCATCCGGACATTTCCGTCCCACCGGGACAGTCTCTGCCGCTGCGGCGCGCCGTCGGTAGTTCGGACAGTCTGATGTCTACAGTCTACACCCTATCCTATATCATCCCATAGCTCCGCAGTGACCATTTCAGGCCAAAAGAATCCGCACCCCACAAAAACAAACAAACAAGCAGTTGGCCTAAGCATAACGAATTATTCGCTGGCCGCTTAATTATGCTCAATTACGAAGCGAACCCATTACGTTAGTCGCCATGCAAAAATAGTATGCGCCTAAGCGTAAGATAAGTACAGAAAGAAATATTTAAGAATGTTCGCTTGGATGTGCTATCAAGCAAATGCGAATAGTTTGGGGTGAGTTTATGTGACAAGTGCTCATTCCGTCACACCCAGCCAGTAGCGACCCCTACATCGGTCGGCACCAGCCACCTACAGGTCTGACCAAGCGACAAAATAATCGAGATAACGATTCCCAGCACATTTCCTGAACATTGGCTTCATAAATACACACAAACAATAAACAAATATTTCAATTTTACTGTGGGGTCAATCACTTGGTAGAGCGTTGGACTCCTGGACTCCTGGTAGTGAAAGCCCGGGTTCGAGTTGCTCCGGCACTCGGTATTTTGAGACTTCTGACGGGGATGGTCCGCGGTTGGTGGGAGTGGCATTGGCCGCAGTCAGTTGAAGTCAGTGAGTGGGGCAGACCGTGTCCGGCTTTGCTAGCACGCTAGCTTTAGAATTTACATTCTCCTGCGACCCGGTATTGTACGCTCGGCAGGTAGGGGTCGGAGTCTGCACAACAAGGTCTGCTCAGGTAAAGGGATCATTAACATCGAGCCTAGCTTTTGTTAGATCCAGTAGAGCGATGAAGAATAAAGCACCAAATAACTCCGAATGGGGGACAAATTTCCATCCGGACACCGCTGCCATCAGGTGACAAGGTTTAAATTTCCACGCTAAATCATGCAACCTTATCAGGTCAAAGTCAAAATGAATAGCAAATACAATTTGAGTTGAAATTATGCATTAGTAATAGCGTCACTCGGGCATTTATGCAAAATGTGCATTCCTGACAAGTTTACTCATTGTAGTCTGATCCATCCTGACAAGCAATGCTGCTGGCCACCGCACTTAATTCCAGGACGTGAAGGGGTTTCAGTCCCAATTCTCCCGCCCCCATATCGGCTCACCGATATCGCTATTTGTCTCTACCCAGGAGGACTTCAGCGAGTCTGAGTCAGCACCCCTGTCACGGGCGCGGGCGCCTATAAACCAATCGCGTTCACACCTATCTTATCAAGATATTCGGAAACATTCACAGAGATAGGAGCGTGCTGCCTTGCGTCGAGTCAGACGTCATACTATCCTAAATCGCGGTGTCGATATAGGAGGCTGTCGCCGACGGTCCGGCCACAGTGTCGATCTGGCCGGTGACCCGTGGAGACCAGCAGACCAGGTGAGAGAGAGAGAGAGAGAGAGAGAGAGAGAGAGAGAGAGAGAGAGAGAGAGAGAGAGAGAGAGAGAGAGAGAGAGAGCCAGCTCAGCCACCCGGCCGAGTTGGGGCAGGTTTCCACACCTGACACATATACCAGCTGAGGGCTGACGTAGCTATTCTTCAAATAGCATTGGACAATACCTTCGATCCACTGCAATGTGCGTCATTTTTCTTTTTAGCTTAAACTTCAAAATACATACAATTAAATTAAATCGTACATATTTCACATGTTACATATGTAATCCACATATTTATTACAATTAAATTACAACTGTTTGCTTTTCCAATAATCTATCAGCTTCAACCCACTAGTGTGTGACCTATGCAGCTGCCTCCCCATGTTGAGCTACATGGGCTGAAGCACCATTTCCCCGTTCGCAGGAACCGTGCGAACTCTCGCTGCCAGCGCCATGGGTTCACCAGGATGTAGCCGGCAGTGCTCGGCCCTGCTCTCCCTCCTCCTGCTCTCCCACACCGGTGAGTGTACGCAAAGTAACCAATAGAAACACTGGTAGATGGTGTAAACGCGTGTGTATCCGTGCGTTTCCCTGGAATGACTGCTACAGTCTGTCACAAGTAGTTAGCTGTCTATCCGAGCTGCGTCCGACACCCTTCTGTTTCTTTGGCAGCCTCAGCGGCGCGACTGTCGGCAGAGGCCACAGTGAAGCTGTCGGAAGACTTCAATGTCCTGGCTGCCATCGAGACCGAGGTGAACGCCATGAACACGAACCTGCAGGAACTCTCGAAGGCCATCGACAGCGTGCCCTCGCCGACGGACGAGCCGTCGCCGACCAGCGAGCCGCCGACGGACGAGCCCTCGCCGACGGGCGACTCATCCGACACGGTCGAGGAGGGCCTGCCGCGGCTCGTCTTCGCCCGCCGCTTCCTCACGCTGGAGCTGGAGACCAAGACTGCCGACAACTGCAACCAGTATGCTGACATCGAAGCCACCGTCGACGAGGCGCAGGACGCTCTGAAACTGGTGTCCACTCAGCAGTTCTCTAACACGACCCTGACAAGCCTGAAGGCGAGCAACCTGAAGCTGACCGCTACCACCCAGTGCGTTAGCGACAACAAAATCACACTGGACAGCGCAATGAAGGAGCAGGTGAAGGCCTCCATCACGGAAGCCGAGACGGAAGGCGAGAAGGCGTCCGACACCGTCGACCAGTACGTCAACCCGCCGACGCCGGCTCCCGCGGACGACTCCGGGTTCCGTTCGGCCACCATCGCGCTCGGCGTGCTCTTCTCTCTGGCGGTGGTGGCCATCGCCGGGCTGGCCATCTATGCACAGCGCCAGAAGTCGGGCGGACACATGAGCTAGGCGGCCTAACCCTCACCCATCATCAGATCGACATCAGGGGGCGACGAGGGCCGCCACATCGCTGATCCCGCCGCGGAACTGGTCATCAGGCGTACAGAGTTTGGTGACTCGGACTGACAGGGTCGAACCCAGGGTGCACATGTCGCCAATGAGTGCAGTACGTCGGGACTGGGGTGGGATGAGAGCTGCTCCAAACGGGTCTCGACGCCGGACGTGCAGGTCCTCGCGGCACTCCCGTCGGTTCCATTCCGACCCGAGCGGCCGCGGTGACGGTGCAGCGTCCAGGGTGACCGTCCAGGGCGCGATGTGCTTTCCTGATTCGCCGAGAATACTGTGATGCGTCTGCGCCGGTTGATTGCTTTGAAAATATGTGTTGCAACTGCACCAAGTGTCGCTGCCAGCTTGAATGAATGTTTGTGATAACATTTAAATAAATTATTCAAAAAAGTACTGACTGTGAGCTGAGATGAGCTGAAAATAAGAAAACAGACAGCCAGGCATTATAAGCCAACAACAAGGGGTCCCACAATGTATCACCTATGTGTGTGTCATAGAAAACGCCATCCTTGTCCATCAAAAACTAACTATTCGTTCAGAGAGTAGTTATTCTGAATAACAGAAGCCTTGAAGTCTAAGTAATATTGCATTTAGCATTTAATCGATATAACCAAGCGATACTCAAACGACCCTGCTATCTCCGGAAGGAATGTGATTAATCAATTCATCATACACCTTTCAATAGTTCAATAGTTTCAATAGTTAGGACAAATAGTTATCAGAGCGAACAGCTAGAGGCGGATTGTATTGGAAGTCGCGACTTAACTGGCTCATTGTCTAATGTCTATTACGATTGGCCTTGGTTAATCGCATATGACGCCCCGGACGGGAATACAAGACGCGTTCCGTATACGAGTTGGCCGCCGCCTGCGGGTCGACTGTGCCGCGCGACAGCAGTGTACTGCGGTACAGTCTACTACTCCTAGCGCTTTTCTATTTGTTGAGAGGCTATTGATCCTCTCTCTCTCTCGACATGGAGAGGCCATCGCAGAGCTATGGGATAATAGGATAGGGCGGAGACATTGGACTGTGCGGACCACCGACGTTGCACCGCGGCGGCAGAGACTGTCCCGGTGGGACGGAAATGTCCGGATTGGACAGTCCGCTCTGCCGCTCGAACGGTCGACCGGGAGAGGGTGTAGGACCTGTCCTCACCACCGCCTCTCTGGTGGCGGTCTTCCAGGACAGCAAGGAAAGCGTGGGGGCCGGGGGGGTTCGAGTGGATTCACAAGGACGGATGTAACCCTCCTATCGCCGGAGTGGCGGACGCCGGGCCGGGCCGGGACGGAAGGTGCGGTCAGATTCGTGTGGGCTGCCTGTTATCGCTAGTCCTTCCAGGCCTGCTGTGATAGTGTTTGTTTGCATGACCGTTTTGAAAACGTCACTACTTTGGAAAAGTTCGCCATAGGATTTCAGAGGGCGAGTAAAAATACAAGTATTGATAACATAAAAGGATCGAGCACTTCCGAAACAAGTGTGTAGGATTTAAAAAACAGATTAGCGTTAATTAGTACAACTTTTTGCGTTGTTCGATGGCCAAATGGCAAAACCTATTCGTTCGATCTGCGTATAGGTGGCGCCAGTGAGAGGCATTCCGGCAAAACCTTCAGCATATGGGCAAAACGGAATGCTGATCCCACTCCACAGAGTCAGTCGGTAAAACATTCGCTATTCGCCATAACTGATTGAACTGGGGCAAAACCTTTGACGATTTGGATAAATGCTTTATGCTGTTAACAGAAGGATCCTGTGTTTCCACAAATCCAGCTGTTCAAACTCATCAATCAATCATCAATCATCAATCATCAATCATCAATCATCAATCAATGAATTCATTTTACTTCATCATCAATGACTTCATTTTACTTAACAATGCTACCAATGGCACTACAAAAGGTGCGAAAAAATACACGAAGGTGTGACAACACCACGCACTTAAACTCAAACTGGAGCGAATACGTTACTCATTTCAAGTTCAGTAAAATACGCATGGCTGGTCATCAATTAAGAACGACGCCAAATGCGAATAGAGAGGGTTTGTCAACTCGAGATAGTTGAGTACTGTGCGAACAAAGTCAACAAATGGGTAACTAGCAGCCCCGAAACCCTTGAGCAACATCAGGGTAACCGGTTAAGTCGCCTGTTCTTTAATCTAAAAGTCAAAGGTGGTGATAAAGTTGTAACAAACTATCAAAAGATAAAAAGGTAAAGATATCAATAACAATCAGAAGTAGGTAATGAGAAGGTAAAAAGTAGTTACATATATAAGATTACGAGGGCAGAGAAGTGCAGTTTGTTTGATGATCACTCAGTAGCATCACGGCCACAACCCGCTGGCGCTCCTAGATAGACATATATGATAGCGTACATATCCGGCCAATCCGTAGCACCCGTTTCGATGATCACTTTCCCACTGGTGGGCCATCCAAACCCATCCGTCTGTCTATCTAATCACGCTCTTCAGTTCGACTCTAATGGACGATTAGGGGACCACATCCGGCGCGGCAGCCGGTGCCACCGTCAGTTGCGCTCGTCGGTCGCCGGCTCCCGGTCAGCTGGATCCGCCGCCGTCGCCCGGGTCATACACAGCTCACCGAGAGGCCACCGCTCGGGTCACGATGGTTTCCGCAGGACGCCGCCGGCCCTGGCTGGCTCTCATCCCGCTGGCCCTTCTGCTGCACGCAGGTGAGTTGGAAAAAAAAAACACAGGAAAACTACTTATCCTTGTTAGTCGACAATGAGGACACGACGGCCGGACGTTCGGCGAAAGGAGTGTAAGTTGTAACTGCAAACATAACAATGACGCGGTGTTCGGGATAGTACAAATATTAAAATATGAAGGTTAAAATCTGCTCTCACCGTACCGTTATTATCACCGCAGAGATTAAATAGGTTTGATTTAAGCACGGAGACAGCTGCAATCAGCTACTCTTTATGGCGCATATGCGTTAAAACAAATTTTAACTACGAGTCCCCCCCCCCCCGAAAAAAATATAGAGTTCATTTCGGTAGTTCGAACGGGTTATTTGCTAAGTTGGGCTACCGACGCTTATCAAGATCTTATCTCTTTAGTCTGCTAATTCTTATGCAAGATCGATTCAATGCAACCAGAGTCAACCATTGAAGAAAGCTAATAATAAAAAATAAAAGCTGAAGCCTCGAAGACAGACCAATCGAGGGACGGCTGGCAGCTCAGTAAATCGAGTCCCGATAGTGGTTGTTACAAGACCAATTGCACAATAGCGCCGTCAAGTAGTCAGCATGGGAGCGTAGGAGCTAGGAACGTACTCAGTGGGCCCCCGTTATCAATCACATTGGGACCAAAACTCCACTAAACGAATGAGACAGGTGGAGTGCAAAGGCATTGGCGAGCTCCTCCCTTTGGCACCCTTTAGAAACTGAAGAAACTTACCTACAAAATAAAAACATGGAAAGAAAGAACACATCCTTCTATTGTTGAAAAGTGAGAACACACATAAATATTTACGATACTTTTACACAAAACATTCATAATCTACACCCAACCACACAGTGAGTCAGGTAAGGTTATTTTACATTAGGTAAGGTTACGTCAGGTTAGAATAGGTTTTGTTAGTTCTGCTTGAAGTGTACCTGATTTTTGGCATTGAATGATTGTATGAGCAATTTTCTAGATTGACATGGTTTCTGACAACATGGTGTGGCTCTTATTCAATTTTGAGTCTAGGGTGCAAAAGTGGAATACCACTAAGTTATTCATTAGTACAACATATGCGGTAGGTGGACCGTGGATACATACATAAATAAAAACAAGGAAAATAAGAAATCGTGTTATTTCCCAGGCTTCCCCGGCACGATCTATCAAGAAGTCCTATTATCGATGGATGCGACTGATTGATGATGATGATTTGGAGTGAAGGGGCGCACCAGCTGCGAGGCTATATCGCGCCCATTTCTTATTTGACTTCCTCAGTGTCGGGCGTTAAAAATCACCTGAAGGCCGGAGGCCGCAATAAACGAAAAGAGGCGAGAAGAGTCAAGCAAAAAGGACTCGTCACCTAAGACTGCTCTCAAAGAAAGTTGGGCTCCGCGCAGGCCCAGAAACTTCAGCCGCTCAGCTTCCAGTCTTGGACACTCCAGAAAAACGTGTCGGACGGAAAGTCTGTCGCCACATCTCGCACAAACAGGTCTTGGGCCGACGCCAATAAGGTGTCCATGGGTACCGAAAGTGTGTCCTGTGCGAAGCCGACAGAGGATGACCTCCTCTCGACGCGACTTGCGTGACGCAGACAGCCAGGTTGCCAAACCCGGTTTGATGCGTAGCAGCTTGTTTGTCTGACATTTGCTCCAAGCCTCCTGCCACTTTCCGCGGAAGAATGAGCTCACCGTAGGGAAAAAGTCCCTGGCCGGTAGAGGGAACCGGCGGGAGCAGGGCTGCCGCGCCGCATGGTTCGCAGCACGGTCCGCCCGCTCATTGCCAGCTATACCAACATGGCTGGGAATCCAGCAAAAAGTCACTGAGGTACCCTCTCGGTCGAGAGCCGTCAAACGGAGAAGAATCTCCTGTACGAGGGGGTCAAGTGGATAGAATTGTGTCAAGGACTGGAGTCCGCTCAATGAGTCGGAGAGGACAAGATATGACCGAGCGGGATGAATCTGGATAAAACATAGAAGTTTGAGGACGGCGACCAATTCGCAGGTAAAAACGGATGCATGTTTAGATAAAGTAAAACATCGCACAGCGTCGCCGCAGACGAAGGCACAGCCAGCACCGAGGTCCGACTTGGACCCATCGGTGTATGCCACGGCATGGCCTGAATATGATTCAATATGTTCCAATGCCTTCGCCTTGAAGGCCAGAGGCAGAATTTGGTCTTTCCGTGTGCCTGATAGGGTTAGGTCCACAGAGGGGACAGATAACCTCCAAGGCGGTTCAGGCAGGATAACAACTCGCATGATGTCCCGAGTGCTTAGGCCACAATCTCGGAGGAGATCGGCCGTTCGGGTGCAGAAAACTCGAGAGCGGCTCCTCTCGTCGCCATCAAAGACTGCTAAGAGCGACCTGGAGAAAGCCGGTCCGTGAGCAGGATGGGAAGGGAACTGACGAAGTTTGATGGCGTATCGCATGCCCAACATCTGCCTTCGTAAGGCCAGAGGGGGCTCGTTCGCCTCAGCTAACAAGCTGACGACAGGAGTAGTTCGGAAAGCACCAGTCGCAATGCGAATCGCTGCGTGGTGGACAGTGTCAAGGATAAGCTTGGATGAGGATGCAGCGTTGTCATAGATAAAAGATCCATAGTCCAGACGGGACCGCACCAGAGACCGATAAAGAAGGAGTAGCGTACTACGGTCAGCGCCGTAGGACATGCGAGCGACACACTTCAGAATGTCAAGAGCTTTAAGACATCTGTCACGGAGACACTTTATGTGACTTCGGTAAGTGAGTCGACAGTCAAGAGTCATGCCAAGGAACTTGGCCTCCGCAACCACTGGTATGGCTTCACGGTAGAGCCTCACCACCATGGGTGCAGTGGGGCGACGCTTACGGGAAAACTGCATGCCTACCGTCTTTGCAGAGGAGAACCGGAAGCCGTTCTCCTTGCCCCATGCCTCCACTCGAGCAACTGCCATCTGCAGCTGTCGCTCCATTGATCGAGTCGACGCCGCACTGCACCAAATAGCGAAATCATCGACGTAAAGAGCGCGGCCGATGGCTGGAGAGAGGACCTTTTCAATGTCGTTGATCATGACACCAAAAAGCGTCACGCTGAGCACACCGCCTTGTGGGACTCCATTAATCTGGGCGAACCGCTCAGATAACTGGTTGCCCACACGAACACGGAAGAAACGATCACCAAGAAAACTGCTTAGAAAATGACCCATCGTGCCTCGAATGCCTAGCTTATGCAGCTTCTGTAAGATACCGAATCGCCAAGTGGTATCATACGCTGCTTCAATGTCGAAGAACAAGGCGCCTACTTGACGACCTTGTTTAAAATTCGAGCGGACAACTGAGTCAAGAGTAAGAACGTGGTCGACAGTACTCCGGTGCTTTCTAAAACCACACTGAGAATTGGCAAGAAGTCCGTGCCGCTCCAGATGCCAGGTAAGTCGGATATTCACCAGCTTTTCCAACAGCTTTCCAACGGCGGATGTGAGCGCAATTGGGCGGTAGTGCAGAGGGTCCAAACCGCTCTTCCCTGCTTTTAGAACAGGGATGACAACTGCCTCCCGCCAGGAGTTTGGGTAAACACCCGTCATCCATAGGAGGTTGAACAGCTGAAGGAGAGCATCCAGAGCAACCGGAGGGAGATGGCGAAGCATCTCATTGTGGACAGAATCCGGGCCTTCTGCGACACATTTAAGACAGCTTATAGCTGACTTGAGCTCAACCATTGTAAAAGTATCGTTGTAGCTCAAAACGTCGGAGGTGCTAAAATTGACCCCAGAAGCTTCACAAGACGAGCGGTGCCTGACAAAGGATTCGTCGAGGGACTCATCACCACACCGCCGATAGAGGGCGCGGCCTATCTCCGAAGCAACGGCGTTTGGCTCCATGATGTCCCTTCCATCCACCTTCAGCACGGGTAAGGGTACAGAGGAGTGCCGGCCCGAGATGCGCTTTATGCGCGACCATACTTCGCCGATTGGAGTAAAACGATTAAGAGTGCTGACATATCGTTTCCAAGATAAGATCTTGGCCTCTTTGATAGTGCGCTTGGCAACCGCTCTGGCTCTCTTAAAAGCTATCATGTTGGCCGTGGAACTATTCCGCTGAAAGGCACGGTAGGCACGCTTTCGGGCACGAATTGCATCAGAGACTGATTGAGAGCTAACCAAACCGGTAAGCTCCTGACAATTCCTATTTCAGAAATCCCATCTCAGCGCTACGTCCACTGACGCTCTGTCACTCCGTTCCAGGCTCGGCGGCCCGTCTAAGCGCCGCTGCGCAGGACGACGAAGGGTTCGACATTCTCGCCGCCATCAAGGACGAGGTGGATACCATGAACACAAACCTGGATGAGCTCTCGGCAGCCATCGATAGTGCGATGACCACGACCGAGGCCCCGGCTCCAACGACCACCGGGCAGCCGTCACCCACTCCAGCGCCCACCACCCAACCACCGACCACCACAACCACAGAGGCGCCGACAAAACCGACGACGACGAAGGCACCGACAGAGGCACCGACAACCAGGACACCGACAACTACGGAGCCACCCACAACCACGGAGGCACCTACAACCACGCAGGCACCAACCACCACGGAGACACCCACAACCACGGAGGCACCTACAACCACGCAACCATCGACCACCACGGAGCCATCGACTACCACAGAGGCACCAACAACCACGGAGTCATCGACCACGAGTGTCACATCAACGACTGGAGGGGATGAAAATGGCACGAATCTTTCAGGTAATGAGGACGTTGACGTTTTACACAGGCAGATCAGAGATACTAAGCAGCGTGGACTATTGGTATCCAGACGTCTTCCCAGTCCCAAACTCAGCGACGTTCCTTGTAGTAGCTTTGCAGACATCCCAGCTACGCTGGACAAGGCACAGGAAGCGCTTGACCTGGTCGCCCAACAACAGTTCGCCAACACCACCCTGGAAAAACTGCAGGCCAGCAACACTGATCTCAACTTCACCACCTCCTGTGTCGAGCGTAAAGAAATCAAACCGGACGACAGCACGGCGATAAAGGAAGCCATCTCTGCGGCCGAGACGAGCGGCGAGGCGGCCTCTGACACCATCGACCACGCCAACCCGACGACGCCAACTCCTGAGGACGACTCCGGGTTCCGTTCGGCCACCATCGCGCTCGGCGTGCTCTTCTCTCTGGCGGTGGTGGCCATCGCCGGACTGGCCATCTATGCACAGCGCCAGAAGTCGGGCGGACACATGAGCTAGGCGGGCCAGAACCCAGCGCGTGGCTCCACCACCCCCACGGGCATCTAATCGGCCGACTCTCGGCTGTCTGGAGGGGCGCGGAAGGCGAGGTTCTCCTATCAAGAAACATTCGTAGAGTAATCCTTGCGGACTATCTCGCATTCAGCTTTGTATCGGCGAGACGCTTATTGTGCTTTGTACTGAGTGAGTGTAAGCGCAAGTCGGCTGTTTGACTCAGAGAGTGGGTCTCGTGTTTGTTGAAGCGTTGTTGACTTCCGCTCGTACTGTGCCTGCCCACCACAATCCCGCAAAGCGAGTGGTGTAAATTTACCATTACAATTGCCATAAAGCTTCAAAATATGAACAAATGATGTCAATAAATCAAACAGTTACACCATATGCACCTCCTACTAACTTCAACCCCGGTGCCCACACTCCGACTTTGGATCGCGGGGCGGCGTAGGACCCGTGCCATGTCTGCGCGCGGTACGGGGCGGGTCACCACCGCGGACTTATCAGCACCTATCGCATCATGTCGACACGATCAATACCTGCCCATATCGCGGGCGGCGAGCGGACCACCGGCAGCTGACTGGTCCTCCACGCCACCGCAAGACATGCGAGACAGGCGTGAAACCAGCTGACACACGCACTTAGTACTACTCCATGTTTAAATAGTCAGACCGTGCAATAATAAAAAACGTTTGTTAGTACCTAGGTCGCCCATGCATCGCAGCATTCATTCCCCCTGCGTTTGGCAAGTATGGGGAAACCGCTATCTTATCTGACAGGTCCGGCCTGATGGCCGTTAAACACTGCTGGAGGGTTGTGGGGGGAGGAAAGGCGAGAGGGGGAGAGGGAGGAGTGAAACAGAGAAACAGAGGCGCGGGACTTTGGAGGGAATGGAGGTTTGCCGGGGAAGAGAAACTTTAGTGAAAGGCTAGATGACGGATGGGAAATGGGGGATAGAAGGAAGGGAGTTGGAGAGTGTGAAGAAGGAGAGAGAAGAGAGGGAGAGAGGGAGAGGGAGAGAGAGGTAGATGAGAGAGAGGGAGAGAGAGAGGGTGAGAGAGAGAGAGAGAGAGAGAGAGAGAGAGAGAGAGAGAGAGAGAGAGAGAGAGAGAGAGAGAGAGAGAGAGAGAGAGAGAGAGAGAGAGAGAGAGAGATGGGAAGTGCTAATAAAGAAAATCAGAGAAAGATGAGGCAGAGGAACACACACCACGCCTTCGTTCAAGAAGTGCTTGGCTGTGGTATTCGAGGAACGGCTCAAACTTCTAGACAAGTGCCCTAGTTCGCGACGCGACCAGACAGGTGTGATTAACAACACCCATTGAGCAATACCATCTGATGCAATCAATGCCGCATTGCCAAAGTCATAAGATCAAGCCATCAAGTCATTACCAGCATCTTAATCCTGCGCTAAAGCCCATTGCGGAACCGAAGTACTTCAGTCTAGATGAGATGGTAGATTGGTGGCGTCACTTTACACAGAGAGCAAGGAGCTTGTCGTCTGAAGTGTGAGCAAAAGCGGCACCACTCCATAAACCACCACTCTTGGGATCCCCAAGACCCGATTTTTTACAGTTAAGTGTCTTATAGCAAACGTGGAGCATACGCTGTGGGTGGCCGCTTCAACTTGATGCAGCAAATATCCGTCCTCTTGTGCGAGTGCCAAGTATATAGTGTTTAATAGGGTTTGTTCCAGTCGCACTTCCTAACACCTCTAAACTCCTCTAAGAGTGCTTCCCTGTTGGCTGTTACAGTGGCAGCTTTAGCCCAGCCAAGGAGGGCCCTGCTCCAACCTCCTCTATCTTGCTCTTGGAGGAGTTTAGAGGTGCTAGGAAGTGCGACTGGAACAGACCCATAGCCACACGCTACAACTGGCAAACTGCCGTACGTTGGACTTGACAGCATTGACCGAAGTTACGCTACAGACATTCCGTAAATGCTGGATATTTTTCCGCATTTACGTCATCAGTGACATGAAGGTGCCCGGAATCTGATTGAGGCGAATAGGCATTTTCCAACATCGGTGCAATTTAGTGCACAAAATGCCTGCACCATGGATAACCAACATCAGGCTGGAGTGGGTGGGTGGGGGTCGGTGAAGCCACTCGCTAGGGGAGTGTTGGTGGTGTCCCGGTATGACTACAGAGCCTGAATGATGACCAGTGATCGCACAGGACAGTACCTGCATGGTGGATACAGAATCGCTAGAGAGGGGACCGTTGTTACCTGTCGATGGGTCAGGGGTCTCGAGCATTATCTGCACGGTGCGCGCAGGGTCGGAGGGGGTGGAAGGGTCAGTTAGGTCACGGGTCATGGACAGTACCTACCGGGGTCTGTCGGCGAGGGTCCGTTGGGGCCTGTCGAGTGTCCATGGGTCAGGGGTCACGGACAGTACCTGGGCCTGTCGGTGATGGACCGTTGGGGCCTGTCGGTTAGGTCACGGGTCACGGACAGTACCTGCACGATGCGCACGGGGTCGGTGAGCACGTCTCTCGCCAGCCGTTCGACGCGTTTCTTGAACGTGGCACTGAAGAGGAGGGTCTGCCGGTCGGGCCGCACGTGGTCGCAGATGGAGCGCACCTGTGGCTCTGGAGGACACACAGACACGGGGGCGCGTCAGCGGACACCGGGAAACGTACCGGTCACTTCCCGGGACACACCAGACACCAGACACGTCGTACAGCACGTCGGACAGCACGTAGTCTTATCAAATATAGGGCTAAAGTGTGTTACCTACCTTATGGCTATGATTAATTGTAGGGTTGCAATGCTCTAGCTTACGGTTATGATCAGGGATGCGGAGCCGTGGAAATTTCAGACGGCTCCGGCTCCGGCTCCGGCTCCGGAGAAAAAAATCGGCTCCGGCTCCGGCTCCGGCTCCGGGTGAAATGTTATGGCGGCTCCGGCTCCGGCTCCGGCTCCGAGTAAAATGGTCCGGCTCCGGCGGCTCCGGCTCCGGCGGCTCCGGCTCCGACTCAGTACATCCCCTACGCAATCAATTAAAGGGACCCTCCCACCTTCAAAAAAGTTAATGAATTGGCATGAAAGTGATGTCGCTCGGTTCAGAAAGAGCAAAAACGAATATCTACCAAATTTCATCGAAAAATATTCACCGGTTTTCAAGATATTAGACTTTTACTTTTGTTTACTTTTTGGGATCTCCGCTGTTCCTAGCGACTTTATTTGAAAGTGCGGCATTTGTTGCGCGCAAAGCAGCATATACCACCGCGTGCTACAAAACGTTTTAGTCAAACATTTAACGGACGTTCGAAAGCCTGATGACGTCATCAGATTCCCGTAATGGTTAAGAGATAGGGACCACGCTGGTCCCACCCTGCAAGTAAAGGGAAGAAATTTCGTGAACACCATAAAGCTGTGGGGGTTGCGACCAGGATAAATGGTGGTTTCTGAGCCTGGCCGCAAACTTGGCTATCTCAACTCAAAACTAATGTTAAGGTGGGAGGGTCCCTTTAAATACGGGTGGAAGAAAAATTGGATTGGTTATACGCGTTACTCTTTGCCATGACCGGCTCACCGCGTCCCCGCGCAAACGCACCTCGGAGAGAACTGGCAGAACAAAGGGCTAGGAAGCGATGGCATTGGAAACGCAGTCGCCGCGAATCGGAGTTCAGTGAACCATCGTAAGCTGACACCCGTCTCGGCTGCATTGGGGGGGGGGGGGGGATGAGACGGTGCTGGGAGTCGCAGTCCACTGCACTGGTTTGAAAACAATGGCCGTCACCTGATGACTGGTCCTCATGTTCTGGGGATGCAGTAGACGTGGGGGGGGGGGGGAAGAGCAAACAGGAAGTTGTTTGCGTACTGTGGGATACTGGGGATATTCGGATTTTTTCATTCACTTGATGGCCCATGACGTAAGTACCATATGTTTTACTGCCTTGTACTGTCAAACCGAACTAGGTCAATTATTTTTTTTTCATCTTCAAAAAATAAAAAGGAGCCGGAGTCGCCCCCTTTTTTGGCGGCTCCGGCTCCGGCTCCGGCTCCGGGCTATATTGTTTCACGGCTCCGGCTCCGGCTCCGGCTCCGGGCAAAATATGCCGGCTCCGGCGGCTCCGGCTCCGACTCCGGCTCCGGCTCCGCATCCCTGGTTATGATTAAATGCAGGGTTATGATTATGGGATATGATCCAAGGGTTATGATTAAAGGTAAAGAGCAAAGTATTCACATTGAAGTGATTTCCTGTGACGCATTAACCCGCGAGTTGCTGGGGGGGGGCGTTAAACGCCCTCACTTTTTTCGCCGGGCCATAGCATAAAAACGGCGCGCCGCAGGCGCGCCAAATTTTGGGTACCTGTAGAGAATTGATTGAAGTTTATTGTGACAAAGTTTCAAAAATATCGGTCGGAAAATTTTTGAGATATCGAGGTTTTAGTGACGTCATGATTTCTGAGTTTTCGACCAAAAACGGCATATGTTCAAAAAATCATATAAAATCACAGAATAGACATACAGACATGCCGTAAACGCCATTAGACTGCCAATACCATGGTCAATCAAATGGTTATCTTCGATTATTGATTATCGTTCCGCATTTTCAATAATCTTGAACTGAATCTTGGCAATTTTTCGTGACTACTTCACGACCATGATACATGAAGTTCTTAAATTGAACTTTTTGAGCCAAACACGTACACATATGATAAAATGAATGTCACCATCGTGTTCTACGTCCCAAATTACATATAAAACATGTGTCACAGGCTGCGAATATCAGTTTTGATTTTCGGGGATATGTGCCTACCCGGTTGACCTGACCTTGACCCTGACCTATGCTTGACTGACCCCTACATGGAGCTGACACTCTTGTAGGCCTTATAAGATGGATTGTGCACCGTTTTGACAGAGTTTATGGCGAGAGGCGCCCATTGCGAAGTCCTGAAGTCCATGCTACTGAAAGCCCGATTTCAGGTGTTTGACCTGACCTTGACCCGACCTGTGACCTCAAAATTCAACTTTAAAGTACTCATCTGAAGTGTCTCGTCGCGCTCTTTCGTTTGCCGCCTCGTGCGTTTCGCTGCGCCTATTGGTTCTCGAGTTATCGGCTGGGGGCGTTTAACGCCCCCCCCCCCCCCCCCCCAGCAAACGGTGGGTGGCGAAATACCCCAGCAACTGCCGGGTTAAAGTACAGCCCACTGCTAAAGTAATGTGCGGTTTTACCAATCTCAACGGATGGCTTTGACTGTCGATTTTTTAAAGGTAGTGTGCCACCTTTGAAAGATTTCCCATTTTATTTTTCCTAGGATAAGAAGCTTCTGTTTTTACCTAATATCGCAAAAAAAAAAATCAAAAATGGGCCTGGAATAGTGCCTTTTTCGCCTAAAAGTTTATCGGTTTTTCGATATGTATAACAACTGTAGTGGGCTGACCTGCAAACAGGCGTCGGCCACAATCGCGAATGCGGCACACATGTGACAATAAGCAAAGGTCATTATAGAGTTACGAAGTACGGGAATGAGTTATCAGCTGTCTAATCGTAGACAACACAATGTCGAGCCTTAAACTGTAAGCCTGTATTGGTATTGTTTCTTTTATTTGGCTGTCGAACATTATTTATGGTTTGAAATATGATTTTATGTAAAATAATTGATACGAAAAAGCCGTCTCTTAAGTTATGACCCCATTTCACCACACGCAAGTGGCAGAAATGACAATGATCAGCTGACGCATTTTTCTTGGCCGAAGTCAGAGCGTGCGGCCCGACGCACCACCACCGCACCACAAAGTATGAGCAGAAGCCGCGCCCAAAGCCAGGGCCCCGGTAACGTGAGGTAGCCGAGTCGGGGCAGCGTGCGCTGACCCAAGCCGGGGCCGCAGCTTTGGGCGCGGTCTACCGCATCCCCGCGGGCAGCCCCGGGCTATCACATGACACCGGGAGGACGTGCGGCCCCGGCTTGGGTCAGCGCACGCTGCCCCGACTCGGCTACCTCACGTTACCGGGGCCCTGGCTTTGGGCGCGGTCTACCGCACCACCTAACAGGCGTGTTCGAAACCGCAGGAGATGATGATGAACGGGTTTATCGAAACTTGATTGGATGAGCCTATCGGTAATAGCGATTTCAGTGTGTGCATTTATTGTTCATAGTGGTGTGAAATGTGGTTGGGGTACGACCGACAACCCGTCGGGGCGAATTTCGCACTGGGGTACTCAAAATTTGAAGAATTTAAGACGTTTCCATGAGTTTTGAAGGTATGGATAAGTTCTAAAAATCCGGATCTCCTTATCTGGGCCATTAACTCCATACGGTCCAGGAAAGCTGGCACACTACCTTTAATGCGGAGTGATCGAAAAGAAGACGTCAATAGATACAGTTGCAGCTGCAGGGGTAGCGATACAGGTTAGCTACATTCAAAGTTTCATTGTGGTCGGGCTAATCATTCCTAAGCTTCAGAAGCAGAACATACCCGGAACTGAAACCGCACATTACTTATGATGTGGACTGTACCTACAATCAGCATCTGATCCTCTACTCCTATGACACGGCACTAGGAGATACAGGTCCTCGAGTGTTCTCTCCAATGAGATCAGCGTCTTATTCCAAGTGACCGGTGTAGTTCCCCGCCGCCCAGAGGATACCGATACAGTCAGGTTTATCTGAGACCACACCTTGATGTCAGGGATAGCATGAGAAGCACGCACTTGAGACCACACCTGGGGGGGGGGGGGGGGGCAGAGGTCGTGATGGGGGCGGAAGCGCTCTCTCATTTGACACCGGGGAAATGGCACAATTGTAAGGTTACCTCAAACCCCATCTGCCAGGCTCGAGCAATCCGCAGCCATTACTAAATCGTCCTTCGATCAATTTTCAACCATAAAGAGCACCTTCGAGCTCAAGCTCAGCCTCGGCCAGAACTGCCAGCCTGCAAAAAAAAAATATATTGAAAAGCTTCGTAAGATGGGATCGTGCCTAACGCCTGAGATAAAGAATCTGGCCGACTTTCTGGCTGAAACCTGGCAATTCTGCCATAACAGCATTACTACTGTCATTACTACTACTAATTTACTACTAATTTTGGAGGTCTCCAAAATTTGGAGGAACATTTAATGTTCTGAAAAGGTTATCCCTAAAAGTGAGCCTAAGATGAAACAAACCATATAACGCAAATCCCAATGCAACCACAGAGCCTACAACTCTGTGACCTTTCGCCTTGACCTTAGGCTGATGTCTGCCAGACCTTACACACTCAACATCAGCATTACAGCGATCAGTGCCAGCTCACTGGCGCCAGGGAATGCGGAATCGGTGAGCGGCCGCCGTCATAGCCGTGTGTGCTATAATCGCCCTCCTCACGACGTGGGCGGCGGGCCCTATCACTGCGCGGCCGGTCCGGCGGCCGAACGAGCGGTGTGAATCGCGCACCTGAGCGGTCACAGAGGCGCCGCGCCGGTCGATAGTCGCTGTGGGTGGCACATACCGCCGACATCGGCACCGCACACGGTGTAAATCTGAATATACCATACCCTGTATGTAATACAGCAATATGTTGTACAGCGGTACCCTGTATGACAGCGGATCACTGGGCACGGCGAAATCCAGCGAAAAGCAGCGACAACCATGACGGAAAT